TTTATGGTTTATACCATGGCGTCAATCTCGATTATGGGTCTATTCTTTGGACTCAACTGGTTCAAAGCTTGAATTCTTCTTCTCGTCACACTGGGATTTCATGTGGGAGATTTGGTCCATCATTACTCAACGAGCTATGGAGAAATTTTGAGTTCTTGTTTTGGCGGATTATTTAATGTCTTCTATTGCTACTTTCCACACCACAAAGATTATTGTCTCAAACTTTTCAAAGTTCGCTTTTATCGAGACAATTCCTGAGTCAATGTACAAATGTGTTTCGGATGAAATTAAACTCATAACCGAATACAAGAAACTTCCAGCTTCAGGTCCAAGGCACCTTACTTTAGAAATGCAAAAATCCAAGGCGCCTTACTTTACAAATGCAAAAAGTCCAGTGATAGTGAATATGCTCCATCTGATCAAGATGATGTGGTTGTACTGAGGATTCGATCCATGAAGACTCACTAGAGGTAATCTTTACTGACAAAGTTCCATCTCCATCACCTTCTCCTAAACACACTTCTACTCCTATTTCTATTGCTCCTTGCCCACCTCCCGTTTCATCTTAACCACCCACTTTTACAGCTTTACGACCACCACTTTTCACCAAAACAACTACTACAACCACTACCACTACGACTGAACCACCTGTTCCTATCAACACATCTGATGTGGGGGGCCGAACTTCTAGTGTCGAAACTCTAAATACCTTACAAACTCTATCTCCAACACACTCTAACAAATCTGACACCATTCTTGGTGGACATGATATGGATTTTGATACTTTACATTTCACCCCTTACATTGTTCAGAGCGATGATGATGATGATGCTCCAGTCACTAAGTGGCATCTCAAGACCCTGAATGAGAAGCTTGATTCTCTTCTCGCCTCTTCATCCCACTCTTCCACCTTAGCATACTCCGAAGTAGCTATTAAATCTCTGGTGGCTACCCTGGTCCAGCAACATGAATCTTCCATTGAGAAAGCAACTAAGGTAGTTGATACTTCCACCAAATCTAGCAAGAAAGCGACCAAAAATGTCGAAAAACTAATTTCAGATGCTAAATTATTTTTGGAGTCTCTACAAGCTGCAGCACAGCAAAATGCAAACACCATAAATGCTTCTGTCGAAAAGCTTTCCTCTTCACTATAGGCCGAACAAGAGAAATTCGAAACTATTTGCAAAAACATCCAAATCGATCATATGGTGCTCCAAATGCCTGTCAACTCTCTCCTTGACAAACTCCAGGCTGACATAGCTTTAGAAAATAAGGTGATGGATGAACTTGCTCGACGTACAACTCTCCTTAAAACTCAATCTGGAAAGATCACTCAAGAAAAGAAGGAGGTTGATGATCTTATGTCGGAGTGTTCTATTTTTAAAAGCTATGTTTCTAATGTTCATGCTATTCTGTCCAATCTACTGGAGGAACATGATTTGGTCCTAACCATCACCACTAGTAGACATTTGGCTGAGAAACTACATCCTGCACTTGCAATGTTGAGTCAGATTGAAGGTGTTCCGGTGGTAGGTATCTGTCCAAAACAAGGGGTAGAATTTAGTCAACCTCCGCCACAACAACCCCCCATAAGCCATACTTCAACAAACGAAACACCTCTACCACCTCCTGTTAAACCAAATGACACCAATAAACTGAAGGATAATGTAGCTTTGGGTTCAAAAGTGTTAAACAAAGGAAAGAAGATTATTGGCGAAAGTGAGGATGAAGATGAAAATGAAGAAGAAACATTGAAACAAAAAATTCGTGACTGAGAGCTTGATGAAAATGCTCGGATCACAAGAGAAGAAGAAGAGAGGGAACGAAAGCAAAAGGAAGTCCATGATGCACTGGAAAGCAGAAAACTTTGTTTCCTTTGTGAACTTTAGATAGATTAAAAAAACAGGCTATCAAATCTCCAAGTTCGCATTGGCTGGAGTTGGTCATCTCTTTTGATGTGGAGAACTCAAAAGATTCTCAATTTGATATGCTGATTACCAGGCGAGCATTTTTCTTTCACTGTTTTGAGCCAGTTGCCTTAATTCCCTCACTTGAACCGAAGGTTCATAGAGATCTAATTGATTATTATCTTGCTTTCTCACAACCTCAATCCCTGACCTGGAGTGCACAAAAGATTACTAAGGTCCAGGTAATGAAGCCAACCGTTGCAGGGAACTTCATCAATGTGAAGTTTCAGGTCACTCGTGGTTCTGAAAATACAGTTCATGAGATTTCTCTTGCTGACCTACCGAATATCAATCCTCAGGACTAGATTGTATTGATGAACTTTTTGTTGTGTGATGAGAAGAACTACGAGCCTATTCTTCCTCACATCAAGCGAAGGTTGGTGTCGTATATACACGAAGTAGCAAAGCTCGATCAAGAAAATTGCCAATGCTTTGAGACCAAAGCCTACTGTAAAACCAATTGGAAAATCTAGTGATGTGAATAAAATGTGTATGGGCCAAATCGACACTGAACACCGAACAGTGATGTTTACTAAAGGAGTTGATACTCCATTGAAGTGCCTGTACCTGACAAACATCTATTTTCCACTGTCTGTCCTGAACATATTCTGATTATAATTAACAGATGTAAATCCAATGATGTTGCTACAAAGAATAACTTCAATGACATGCTTCGGTGGTCTATCAACTTTCATCGCACTATTGTTTCTATCATACCGAAGTTGTTCAAAATGGTAAAGAAGGCAACGTAAGCACAGTAACGGTGATCACTCGCCTCCAATGATGCAAAGGGGAGAGTATTGGGTTTATTAGATTGCATCTTTGGGCTTTTTTGTATAACTCCATTTTGTAAACGGTTTTCGGCATGTCCATTCGTTTGTTATTAGAGTTATTGTATATATGGTGCATACATGCACCGTATTAGGTTAACTGTTGATTTTATCATTTTAAACGTATTGTAACCCTACCACACCTGTACAGTAGCAATTCCTAATAGAGTTCTTCTGAGGTGTGGCTTTTTAATCATTCGATAACAGTTTGATTCATTTGTGTTCTTGTTTAATTTACATTCTTGGTTTTGTAACAGCGTGAATTTTTACAACAATTTTTCATTTTTGCAAACATCAAAAACCATCATTTAATATTCTGAAATCACATGTGTAACAAATGTCATTGTAACAAAATACATCCCATGATCATAAAACAGTTCCTTCGTCATTGTGTACAAATCACATAGGCGCCTTCCCACGGTCCTCGCTAGTATCTGAAACACATAACACAACAACTGTAAGCATAAATGATTAGTGAGTTCCCCAAAATACTACTTACGCACATACGCCTTTCCAAGCCCGGACCTTCCGGTCTATGTGCTCATGGGACTTCCATCCCGACTCGGTAAACCTTCCGGTCCTACCTGCGTCAACCTTACGGTCCACATCACAACGCCTTCCGGCCCATAACATATATGCCTTCTTGCCCATAACATAATGCCTTCCGGCCCATATCAAGCATAGCATACATAGCACATACAAACGATTAACTTATCATATATAATGCATACAACTCATAACATATCCGACCTTCCGGTCACACAATAAAACCCTTCCGGGTATAGTATAGTGAGAAAACTCACCTCGTGGAAAGTCTAGAATCTCACGTGCTCTCTATCTCTGAATCCCAAACGAAGACTCAACCTCGCCTAATCATAACGAATATCATTTTAATTAATATAGACTTCCACAACTAGACTTTACCCCTTATCATCATTCCTCAGAGGGTAAAAGACCATTTTACCCTTCCTTGACTCAAAGTCCACATGTTGACGAAAACCCTAAAAGTCAAAAAAGTCAACATTTTAGTACGCAGGGCGTACATCGCCAACCCAAAAGTCGGTGTCTCCACCCAGTACGCTGCACGTACTGGGAGTTACGCCCAGCGTAATAGTCAGTTCTAAACATTCTTCATTTCTGGTCTTAATCGGTTAAGCCACTACTTCAAATTCTAGATCCAGCTTTATTTAAGCATCCTTACTCATAAAGTCGAAACCTTTAAGCCTTGGCATGGCTGTAAAGGCTCTTACACTCCTTAACACCTTTCCATTTCAACTCAAGCATCTAGATCTCATGCATGGCTAATCATTCACGTCCATGATTATATTTTTATGAATCTACAACTCAAATGGACCAGAAATATGATGGATATGAGCTAATGGAGACCACTTACTCATAAAGTCTCCACCTTTGGGACCAAAACCCTAGAAAATGGTCCATAAATCATACCACAAGAACTACAAGTCAAGATCCGAACTTTTTACCTTAGAATGAAGCTCCAACCTTTGCTAAGCCTGAATCTACACTTGAACACCAACTTCTAGCCTTCCCAATGGACTCTTCCTCTCCTTTGTTACCTTGAAATGACACCACCAAGCTTAGAACACTCACAAATGGGCTAGGAACGAAGGAACACTCTCTTAGGGTTTCTTTCGGAGGGATGGTGGCTGAGGAGTCAAGCCATCTCATTCCTTTTCACTACTAGAAAAATAGCCTTTTACGACGCTCATTGCGCGTTGTAAAAGGCTCAGACGACGCGCAAATGCATGTCAAGGAAGGCCCTGGCATAAAGAGAGACGACGCTCATTTAAGACGTGCAATTACGACGCGCGTTTACGACACGCAATGCATATCAAGGAAGGCCCTATCATAAAGGAAGATGACACGCATTCGCGTGTCGTAACCTTACGACGCGCGTGTTAATGACACGCAATGCGTATCAAGAAAGCTCCTATCAAGAAAGGTCATGTCATAAATGAAGATGACACACATTTTTGCGTATCGTAATTTTAAATGTTTAAAAAAAATAAATTTATATATTTATTAATTTTTAAATTAAATTTGCATTTAATTTCTCCTAATAGAAATAAAATACCATATACAAAAAATACAATCCATTGCATAATATAAAATAAAATTTCATACTCAAAAAATAAAATAAATTGCACAAATTGTAATGTCATACAAAGAATCATTCAAATGTTAAACAAAAATAATACATTGCTAACATAGGTTATACATTCCTATAAAACTAACAAATAATCATACAACTCTGTTTCTTACTGGAAAGGAATGTCAAACATGATTACAAGTCTCCCTTAATCTTGATTACTCACCTGCTTAAGTAGAATGTTGTTGTTGAGAAGGTTACCTAGCAACAGAGAAAAACACAACACCTCTCCCACAATCACAACATCATTTACAGAGAAAGGGTTGTCAATTACTTTCATTAAGACTTTCATTCAATCACAAAAATATTAAATAAAAGGGTGAAACAGTAACTTACTTTTGATAAGTTGATCTCCCTTAGAGCAAACACAGCTAAAGCATTGAACAAGACCCTATTTCAAAATTTTATAAATACACAAATCATGATACCTGATATTGGAATACACACTTTGAGACATGAATAAATACAAGTAGATTAACTTGGATACATAGGAAGTAAAGATGGAAGGTGCCAGAACTCTGGGGGCATTGGGTTGGTTCCTTCCCACTCGCACACACCAAGCCAGAACTCCACTTAATCCAACACCAAAATAAGCCTGCATTCAGAAAGCTGCATGGGTGAGTCACAATTCAAGAATCTGTTAAAATTTGAGGAATAACATGTTCAACCAAAACAATATTAGAAAACAGGGTTAAATGTGAAACATAGCAATGTAATAATTATCAAGGTGCTGGAATACTTGAAATCTAGATTATTTGGTTGTTTGTACATCCAGACTATTTTATCACAAACATAAGTCATGTTATCAACTTTCTGAAGAAGTATACCAAGACATTTGTAGGAGAAGAATACTCTCAATAAGATAATTTAATTAAAAAAATGTAATGATAATGATAATGAGTTCATACCTGTGAAGTTGTGCAGAATGCTCATCATACATACATACATATATATATATATATATATATATATATATATATATATATATATATATATATATATATATATATATATATATATATATATAAAGCTCATACTGCTTTGCAAAAGCATTTCCAAGAGAAATGACCCAATCAATTTCTTGAACAACATCCAAAGTTTCTGCAAGAAACTACAAACAAAAAAAGAAATAAATAATAATGACATGAAAATTAAGACTATCAGTCTATAACCTCAACAATAAAACAAAACAAATTATTATTAAAATCAAATAATGATAATACAAATTGTTAAAAATTATGGGACAGCAGGGTCTTCTATGATGAGATATAAAGCAGCCCTATTACAATATTACCCTTGTGTTGTGGGACAGCAGTACATGACTAAATGCATGTAGATTGATAAGGTTGTTTCTTTTTTACTTAATAAAATCAAAATGACTTGTCGTGCTAAGTGAGAGGGTGGTCACTTTATGTATTAAGACCCTCCCTATTACAATATTACCTTTGTTTATTTTTTTATTTTATTCAACTTTTGACAATCTCATGAAAAAGGCACTATCGACCTCGTTTTTTTTTCAATGTTCACAGAATTTTAAGCAAAATGTTGGCATCTATTTACCTGTTGTTGTTTGTTTTAGAATTTGGAGAGAGAGAGAGAGAGAGAGAGAGAGAGAGAATCTTCATGCCTTTATGGTGTATCAAAGGAGGGCGCGAAAAGACAACCCAGTTACCATCCTAAGCAATTAGTGGTCCTAGACCATGTGAAAAACAGAGCTCATATCATAAGCTGATTTCATAAAAAGATATAAAAATAAAGACTAAAGAGCCAGTACCAGTTGATCAAACCCATGACAATATTCTAAAGAACAAAATTTGACAATATCCTAGACCAAATGACCATTTTTACCTTACATTCTAAAGAATAAAATTTGACAATATTCTTTAATGTGAGAGGATTGGGTGGAAAAAAGAAGAAGGGCAAATAGGTAATTAGTGTCTTAACCAATTATTTCATTCTGTACAGGTTAAGTGAAAAAGAAACAGCCATGTAAGAGAAAACCAAAACTGTTGAAAATAAAAAATAACTATAAAAACAGTATGCAGGGGCATTTTGACCCAAAACTGTTAAAATCAAAATTTTTATCTATAAAAATAGTATGGAGGGGCAGTTTGGTCCAAAACTGTTAAAATCAAATTTTCTTCATGATTATTTCCTACTCCTTACATGAGACCAGATTTGGAGGTTGAGCAAAAAGAACCATATCAGCAAGTACCTACCTGTACATGGAACCATTTTACTATAAATAGAGTATTTCTTTCCAATCGTATTCAAACAGGGAAGCGGGTATTATTATAAGGGAAAAAAGACATACTCTTGGGGTTTGATGAACTCTCATAGGCCAAGAACGGAACATGTCAAAAGTAGCCGATGGCCTTGGTACTATTGTGTATAAAACTGCAACAAAATTACACAATTAAAAAAAATCTTTTACAATAAATCACATTCAAGAAATTAAAAACAAAACATAATCACACATTAAAAAAGATTGAAGTGGGTAGAAAATGGATAGCTAATCCATATCTTTTGACACTTTCAAACCCTCTTTTTCTAATTAGACATACTAATAAATGTATGTTCTTGAGGGTGTGGTTTTCAAGTAACAGATAAAAGTGAACACAAACTCAAAACTCAAAACTCAAAAACATACAGGATAGTGAAGCAGGTCCATCCCATGACTCCATTAAAGTTGATGACCAGAGAAATCAAAACTACTATTGTTATCTTTTATAAGAAGACTTCAAGTATCCCAAAGCTGTGACTCTTCTGGAAATTTTTTTATTATATTGTTTCAAACGGTTCCTCTAGCCTACCCTCCTGATTACTAATTATTACTTGTTTTCTTAAATCTCTTATTTGTTGTTGCTGCTATTTGGTTCATGTTGGTTGCCAGTTGCACCCTGATTTTATGCTTGATCACTTTGTCATACATAAAGAAAAGAAAGATGCCCAACGTATACAGGGGAAAAAATCCATTCATTGATTGGGATAAAAAAACATACAAAAGAAATACGAACCTCCTTTGAAGTCATTCAATCTGGCTAATGCAGAAAACAGATCGTCGTCGGTATCAGGAAGTGATGACTATATTCCTTTTTCTCTATTTCTTCACATCACCATGGCACCTCCGACCCACCACGACCATCGATGAACACCAACAACAATCCCTTAAAATGTTATGAAATTGAGGCTGACCCGCCACCGACTGAATCGCCACAGTAGCATATCGCCTGGAGAATCCAAAAAAGAAAGAAGAGGTGGGGAAAGGAAGCAGATGGCAGAAGGAAAGGAAAAGAAAGAAAATAAAATAAAAGGAGTCGAGACGAAACCTAAAAGTATTCCACTGGACCAAAAAAAACCCTAAATCTTCTCATTTTCTGCAATCGATTGTAATAATCACATCAACATGGCACCTCCGACTCACCACCACCGTCGATGAATAACTCACTGACCGAACCGCCACAGTAGCATATGGCCTGAAGAATCCAAATAAGAAAGAAGAGTATCAACACAATTAGATCACTCTGAAGACCAATCGGGAAATCGAAGCAGATCTTTACCATTTGCGTTCATAAGAGGTCGGAGTGGATATTAGCGAAAGCAGCGATGGTGGAGAAAATAAGTGACCGCCCGGATTAATTAATTACCTGCAAGTAATCCATGTAAAAGAGGTGAACTAAAAGCTGAAAAAAAAATTAATTAATTACCTTTGGCATCATGAATGATTGCATTATGCCCTAATCGAGTTCGTTTTGACTTTCCGGTGGTCAGCACCGTCACGACGGCTGCCCTCCATTTTTTTCGAAGGTAGAGCAAACATGGAGAGGCAGTAGAGGGCCGACGAACACACTTGGCCAGCCGGTCTTTTTTTCGTCGATTCTGATTTCCTTTTCTTCGATTGAACATCACAAAACCAACACGGGACCAACAGTTTTTCCTTCCTCCCAACCCCGGAAGACGTGGAATCGATGCCCTCTATTTTTGGAAGTCGGATCGATGGATACTCGTCCTTGTTAGATTTTTTTTAGGCTTCAAAATTGATAGATTTGTTTTTTCGATTCTTTCAAGTTTGAATCAGAAAATGAGAAAGAGTTAGGGAAATCAAGAGTGCAATGCTCCTCCTTGTTAGGTTGAAGATGAAAGATAGATAGAAGATAGAAAAAAAAAAAGGCGGGTTTTCAAAATTTTGGGGATTTGATTTCCCCCCATGTCTACTAAAAGCGCGTTTCATTAAAATTATAAAGCGACAGGTACAGACGATGCGCGTTTAAGATAAAGCGCCCTCCGTATTTTTAATTTTTTTTCTTGAGACACTAAATTAAGGGCACGCAATAAAGCGTGACGTAAATCCTTAAATTTTTTGGAGAGATAACACTATTTTAAGGGCACGTCCTTTTGTGTATCGTTAATTATCGTGTGTCGTAAAAAGCACATCATTAAAGGTCTTTTTTCTAGTAGTGTTTATAGCCAACCACAACAATTAGGGTTTTTGGTCTGGACCAGTTACGCCCAGCGTACCCGAGGGAGGACGCGTTAAAATGAAGCATGCGAGTATGCACAACATACTCCTTGTACGCCCAGCGTACTCGCCCAACATACAAAACCCTAAAATGACAAAAAATTAAAGATGAAGGGCTAAATAAAATGGTACCTGGATTTTGGGATGTTACAGGTTTGCTTGTTAAGAATCTAATCGATCTTAAACACTTTATAGTCTCATCATGTTAAACAAGTGACACAGTTGAATGAGTCAGTGGATCTTAAAGTGGCTGAACTCAAATTGAGGATTTCCAAAGAGGTTGAAATGATGAAGAAAAATTACACTTTGTTGCATAGAAAAGCTGATGTCGTTGGGGCTGCTATCACAAAGTTGGTTGATTTCAACACTGAGTATTCTAACAAGCTTGATGAAAAGTCATAAAAGGATTCCCAGGTGTTTGAAAAGTTGGAAAAGATTTTATCCAGTATCAAGGAGTCTATGTCAAAAGTTGATCTTTCAGATCAATCGTCAGTTTCTCAAGAGTCAATCTCTCAGTTGATTTAGACTTTTGATACTAATATCAAAGAAGAGCTTGCTCACATCCTTGAGTTGGTTCTTCGATTAATGCTCCACATGTGGTGCAAAGTGTCACAAGGGGGAGAGAAAGGATGTGGAGGAGTTGGTTCGTCAAAAGATTCTGAGAAAGAGTTTGTTGTTGGGAGAGTAAGTTTGACTCATATTCCGACTTCACTTCACATATCGCTGACCAAAACTTCTACAACAACAACAAGACCACTGAAGAAAGGGATCACAATAAAAGAAGGAACTGGAGGTTCAAGTTCAAGTTCAGTACCACCAACTTCGAAAGATGATCAAAGTAATAAAGGGAAAGTTATCTCTGTGGTTCTTTCATAAGAAGAGAAGAAAAAGAAACAACCTCTTGAAATTGAGAAGCAAAGGAAAATCAACAAGATCATGAGGAAAATACAAAATGACCCACCTAGCTTGAACGAGGGTGATCCCAACAAGCAATGGTGTTACGAAACAATTGAGGATATTGTTTTGATTGGGCGAAATGACTACTTTCGCAACGTGCCTAAGAAGAGCTATGATATTGAGAATTCTGATTTCAATCAACTTGACTTCCCAATTAACCACATGTTGTTCACATCTTCCCATTTCAAGATTGTTGAAAATTTCAATGACAAAGATAAGTTCAAAAGACTGAATATACATTTCCATGTGGTCTTGGGGAAAAGCTAAAAACAAGTATGGTAATCTGTGAAGATTGTGAAAGTGATGACTATAATGCGAGAAAACTTGTTCGAAGTTCTTCTGTAAAATTTTCGCTATGTGGTCTTAAGAGAGAACAATGTTGTTTGTGAGTTCTCGATTTTAGATTTCCCATTTATAAACTTAAATGATTTGGTTACTATTACAAGGATTTTAAGTAATGTGGATGTTTCGAAGCTAATTGAAACCAACAAGGATGATTTCATCATTGATTTTGCTCATATCAAGGTTATGATAGACAACTATTATGATTGCCTAGCAATTACGGATATTGAGCTTTCCTTAGATGTCAATAAGCCTTTGAAAGTTCCTCAATCTATGCTAAAAGGGAAGATTAATATTGATAATTATGAAGATAGGGAGATAATACATCAGACTCTTAGGGTTATACTTCGAGGGAAGAACCAGAATGGGAAGTTGACAAAATTTTTGTTTCAAGTTAGTGATTTAGAGAGGTATACGAATGCTCAATATACCAATCTTCTTGTTCGAATTAACTACTGCAAGATGAATGAAGTTGAAGACAAGGCAAAGATTCGAAAGACAATTTTGTGGTATATGGAGGTTTGCAATGTACTTCTTAAGACTTTGAATCTTATGGCATAATTTTGACTACTCTCACTAAGGGGGAGATTATAGGGGTCGAAACATAGATAATGAGGAGTTGAAATACGTTGAGTCTTTACGGGTTTGAAATCCAATTGATTGCGACTCTATATGTATTTACAAGGCACTTTTTATATTCAATGCTAGAATGTATTGTGCATGTATTTTTTTGTTGAGTCTGTTATTCCCTATAAATAGGGTTGGTACTGAGTCGAGAGTAATTTTTGTGCTCATTAATTTGTAAACTCTCTCGAATACCTTATACTATTTTACGACTAATACGAGCCAATTACATCATATTTACATGATGTGTTCTTACTACTTTGTTTGTTTGATTTTGTGTTCGTTTCTCGATTTTAACTCACATTAGATGGGTGTCTTGAGTTTCGGTTGTGCTTGACATGGCTTCTATCGTGTTTTCTTTCATTGACATGCATGGGAGTTTTCGTCTTCATGCTTGATATATGCGTTTGCAATGGACTTTAGGTTGGCCTCCCTCTGTTCCCCACCTTCGATCTGTAGGAGGTATTTCTCGACTTTGTATTTGAGCTTGTATCTTGAATGAGATACCGTCCCCTGCATCTTCTTTGACCAAGGGTCGGGGAGTATTCCTTGGGCGAAGGCTCCAGTTCCAACGAACTCTTCATGGCTCGGGACGTTGAGTTTTGCCAGCATGAATCTATCGTAATATGCCTGTATTAACTCTCCTTCTTGTTACTTGCCTGTCATTATGGATTTTTCATCCCTCTTTCCCCTTCCTTAGTTGCATGAAATTGTTGAGGAAAATGTATCTTAGTTGTTCGAAATTGGCGATGCTACCTATTTGTAGTGCCTTGAAACACTTTCTGGCATGTCTGGATAACGTAACAGGTTAATAAGTACACATGAACCACTTGTCCATCCTTAATGAAGTCATCGTCCACTCATAGGTGTCGATGCGCTCATCGGGGTCAGTTGTTTCGTCATACTTGGGGATACATGGTATCATCGTCGAATGTGGAATCTCATACTGCAAGAGCTCCAGACAAAAGGAAAAAACCGGTGCTTCTCAACAAGTTTTCCATGAGAGAATATGGAAAACCATCGTACATCGTAAATTGTTGAGCATAATACGGGTTCCCGTACGCTTGGTTGTACATTGTTGCTTGCGAGATGTATGCTTGCTGTTGAGAGATCTATTGTGTGCTTTACGGCAATTGCAAGCTTTGTTGTGGCTGCTAGGGTATGTTCAAAATTGACCCCAAAGGCTGTTGAGTGAAGGTGCATAGTTGTTGTGCCAATGACAAGTTAGGGTTAGACACTTGCAACGACGGTGTTTGGCGGTTGGATCTATACAACTGCTGGAAATAGGGGTTGAACATTGGAGGTTGTTGAGCGAAAAGTAGGATATGCGATATTCCTACTACTGGAGAGAACTGATAGCTTGACATTGGGTATTGTATGGAGAACAATATGGTCACTAGGGACCAAGTGTTCATCCCCGCCTGCTGCATTAACGATTGTAGCATAGAAACTATCAGTTGCGATTGTTGAGTCGACAATTGTGACTGTTAGATCGATAGTTGTGACTTCTGGGTTAGTGGTTGTAACCGGTGATTTGTTGTGGACTGACGCGCTACAATTCCAATTATACCTAGCTGCTATGTTGTGACGGCCGACGGTCACCATAGGGCGGCGATTATGCCACTACAGTTCCCATTATTGGGCCTGGTGTCTGTGTTGTTGGCGTGTTCCATCGACCGATAGTATTGATCTGAGTGGGCTCGTTTCTCTCCCGCCGGACACTACAGGTGCCTTTCCGATCATTTCCTTCGTCTAACAACAATTATGGATTGCTTTGTCTGGTTATGCCTGAGAATCACAACAAAGAAATGGCCGAGGTTAGCCGTCGTCCAGGAGGGGTCTCGGAATGAGACTCTGACGGTCTAATTAGTAGTTATAGGGGAGAATTATGGTTTTATTTTAGATGGAGAGAGAGGTGATCCTTTCTTCTGGAGAAGAAGGATCTCTTTTATACTAGTCGTCGAGGGAGCATGTCCCTAACAGTACCTTTTGTCTTGTTTGGACCGTAAGGACGTGGAGGCATCCTATTGGCGGATCATGCACCACCAGTGGCTATCTGTTATTGGTGCAAAATCACCGAAGATCAACGCTCTGAGCGCTACACTTATCACTCTAGCGAGTGGTTGGTATTGTTTTGTCTTGTTATGGATCTTAGTCTTAAAACGTTGGGGCCTAAGTGCAAGGCCGCAAGGGCGAGGGCCCGGGTCTCGCACTTAAGTTGAGTCGTGATTGTTAGCTCGGTCGTCCTTTGGATATTTGTTCCGTTATCTTTGACATATACTAAAGGGATACATTAACAACATGTGATCTCCATTTCATTTTTTATGACACATATTGATGTGTAGGGTTAAACGTGAAACTTTGAAAAACGCATAACTTCTTCATATGAAGTCTAATTTATCCGCTTTTTATATACATGGGCTAGTAATCATCATTACTACGACTTTTATTTCGATTATTTAAC